TTTTAGAAAGTGGAAAGCACATGATGTGGGAGTAGTAAACCGATTTATGAGCAATCTTGAAAGACAACTTAAGATGGTGACCTTAGATGAATTGAGGTTGTGTTAAACCACAATTAGCCTCAATGAGTGAAGAAAGAGGCTTGGCACTATCATTGCCGATGAAGTGAAATGTTGAAGTGGAATATGCAACCAGTCTTCAGGTGAGAGATTATTGGGACATGAAACCTGATTATATCATAAAATCTAGTAATATGATTCTGGATATAATTTAAATATGATTTAGATGTTATATCCTAGATTTAGATATATGATTTGGATATTATTGACATAGATAGACATGTATTCTCACTATAACATGTGTCTGCGTATTCTATAGTAAAATTCCTGACTTGGCAGTGTCTCTAGACATGGATTATTCTGATCGAATTGGGTTACCAAATTTTTATGTTCTTGTGTCTTTGTTTGTTTTTCTTGATTTCTTGAGTTTTCTCATAACATATATAATTATTTAGTTATATTTTTACCGGAATCAACTAAGATAAATTAATTTCAAATTATAATCAATCAAACATAGATTGAATTAGCTTCCAATGGGGACAAGTAAACACAAAAAAAAACTAATTCATATTGAATCTCTTCATTCTTCGTCTTCGTCTGATTATATTGTTTGAGTTCGGTACGCATGATTTTTTATAATATATATTTTTTTCAATTTGTTTTTTTTTTTTTTTAAATTTTTGGTTGTTGGGTATTGGGTATTTAGGGAATGTATTCAATTAAGATTGTATAGAATTTGTCGGAAATTTTTAAAATTTGAATGTATTGAATTCAAATTAATTAATCAAATCCATCCACCCATGCATCGATTTTGTGAATTTTCTTAATCTCCATAAATTTATAAACTTTTTTACAATCTAATAAAATCAATAAAATCTCAAATGAATACACCCGATCGAATGGAAAAACTCGTATGGACCACAAGCTCGAGAATAAGCTTCAATTTAAAAAATGTGAGTTTGTGATTTTCAATGTTTATTCATCTGCTAACTATGATTTGATGCACGACTGTGAAAAAATAAAAACTTAAAAAAATGTTAAAAAAATAAAATTAGTTTACATGATGTTGTAACAACATAAGATCATAATTTAATTAATCGCTTTGATTACTGTACTGATTGGGTCAAATCAGCATGATGATGATTTGACCAAATTAACAAATTTCTATAAAGAAAATAACAAATATCGATATTGAATATAACATATATTTAAATAGAACAATATATGATTATATGTAACAAAATATATCATGATTTTAGCAAAATATATTTTGATTTAAACATAATAGTAATTTGATCCAATTAACAAATGTTCATTAAAAAAACAATACATCATCATACAATATATAACACATTATATAATACAATATATGTTATATACTTTATGACAATTTGCTAATTATTTTAAGTTAATATACTAATTTAGTGATATATAATATATTGTGTAATGATTTGCTAATTCTTTCGGATTAATTTGCTAATTTGGTCAAATCAACAATTGCCGCATTTGATGAAACTATTACTAAAAGATTAAACTACAACTAAAAAAATCCTCTTGCATACACTTTTGTGAAGTGATGTTTATTTATCATAATTTAGTGATAATTGCAAAGATGTATGAGAATCGTTCAAATTTATATTGATTATACAAGAATAAAACCAAAATATCATCAATGTAGGATATAAATTTGTGTTATTAGTTTTTGTTAGAGCTGATTGGATTAAACATTATGACTACAATACTGAATAAACCTATTCTAATTAGTTTTTTTAGAGGTTATTGGATTAGACATTATGGCTATATTACTGAATAAATCTATTTTACACTGTGCTGACATAATTATTAACAAACAACACATCAAATATAAATAGAAAGCAAAAGATATATATTAACATAATATATATACAATATATAAACTATATATAAAAATAGTCCATACAACATCTATTACAATTTAATTCACCACATATAATATTTTCATACAACACCTATTACAATTGAATTCAACACATATGATATGTTCATATAACACCTATTAACTTATGAAATATTAGCATATGATTTCAATTAATACAACATTGGTGAGCCGATAGAGTGCAGAAACTATTTGATAACACGCTTTAAGTAAAATCAACAAACAATCTTTAGCCTAAATCTCACGATCATGGAAGAGTTTTGCACGATCCGAGCACACATGGATCATTGATTGTGGCCTTGATGATAATGTAGGGGAACCTCCTGTTTTGTGATATATGTATTGAATCTAGTTATAATTATAGAATTATTTTGCGATATAGATTAAATACTGTTTTATGGTATGATATTGAATGAGTTATTGATGATGTGATTTAGTTATCCGAGTTATGAATGTTCTATGACCGTTTGATTTTGAATATATAGATTTTACAATCAAGTGAAAATTGTTTGGTATTGAAATGGAACATGTGTAACACCCCGGCCGGCTCAAACCAGAGCGTCACCGCCACGCCACACCGGAAGGCTCGTTCGTCAACCAAAGTGCCCTACGTTGTGGCGCTAAGGCTAAAATAATAAATACCAATAACTAATAGGGACTTAGAATTAAAGCGCACCGGCTCATCAATTGAGTAAATAAAGTTCAATTCAAAAGCATAAATTGAAAATAGTTCAAAAGGCATTAGTCCTTAAACATGATTAATGAATTTCAAAAGCATCTTAGAAGGTAAAGTAGTTCTAATTCCACGGATGGATCATATGACGTGAATGCATCATTTAGGTATAATGGAAGCATGATCACCTACAAAAAGATTGTAAGAAGAGGGTCAACACAAAGGTTGAGTAAGCGCAATTAATCGAAGATAATTTAATAAGGTATAATGCCACAAAATCAATTGAAAAAGATAATTGAATAAAATGATACGTATCACATAAGAGGAACTCACACACACAAGTCTTTTAGCGCCTCCCTTATGTCTCATTTTCATTCTCAAGTAATAGTGATGAACAAATCACGAAGAAAACTCCACTAAGCCTTAACTAGGGCCGACTCGACCCGGTTTTTCAACCTTATTACTTCGTATGACATGTTACATAATTTCACATAACAAACATAGGGTCACAACCCTCAAAGGAAACTCCACAATGTGTACATAAGGGTTCGAAATCTAAAGTACACGTAAATAAATTTATTATTAGTTTGCGAGGGGCGCCATACGGCCCACAACCCTCTAGTCTCCAATATAACATACCAAGAGGGGATTGTACGCAATCCAACCCTCCATCACGGATGACGGTCTAAAGACATTTTCATCATGAATGACGGGCACCTCGGAATCACCCAAAAAGGGAACCCGCCATCTCGATCCCTCAACCTAGCCCATTCGGGATTTAGTTCAAGGTTAGCTAGTTATCCTAAAATACCGGTATACCCTCACGTGTTTGCAAGGCACAGAGGTGGAAGGCTATGCCTTATCATCCAAACAATCGACGAGTTGATCGGACTCGACGGGTAGTTTCAATTACTAATTTGACCAAATACTCAACATACTTTTAGGCAAATTTCAAAAAGAGTGTTTTAAACTCGAAATATTTCAATTGTCAATCTTTAACCATGCAAAAGTAGGATATTAGACCCAACAAGTTCGTTATAATCTCACTTTATTCCGCCAAATAAACATTCGAAAAATATTTCAATCACAATAGGCATGGTCTAACTCCAAAAATCATAATATTTAAATATACTCGTAAATCTTTTTCCAAAAATCATAACTAGGTTAGGGCAAAACTAGGGTTTCAAACCCATCCCATAAATTTCACGATTTTCAATTTAAAATCCAATAATAATCTTCACATAAGCATTATAATCAACTTTCTAGAAGAAATTGGCAAAACCTAACACTTGTAGGGCAAACCCATTTGACAAGAATATTGAAAAAGATATCAATAGAAGGGTCTAGGGATTAGAACATATCAATCTATCTGAGATTAATCCCACTTACCTCAAGAGAATAGACCAAAAGAAAGAATTTTGGAGAAGAAGAACTCCAAGAAGAAGAAGGGCTGGCGGCGGCGTGCGTAATGGCTGTTGCTGTTCTTTTATTATTATTATTATTATTTTATTCTTTTATTAAACATAAAATACTTAGCCCTTTATTAATTATTTTATCCTACTTTGACCCAAACTCAATTTTTACTTCTAATTTAAACCAAACTCTTTAATTTATTACACTAAAAGACCAAAATAAATTATGCCCAAAATAAAATTTGTCCGACTCTGGCAAACTTTCGGCGATTATTTTACGGGGTATTACAACATGTGTTTGGAAAAATTGAAAGTTAGTTTTTGAGGTTGATACTCGGGATTTGCTCCTAGTTCACGAGGGATATAATTTCTCGCATAAGTCATAACTTATACTCTTTTCGTCCTAATTTTTCTGTCCATGTTAATATAGAGTAAAATGTAATCGGTAAATAATTTAAAAATATATTAATAAAAATAATTAGTGTATAATAAAAATAATTATAAATTAAGATTTAAATAACTAAATAATTTAATTAAGATTAAAACAATTATAATATATGTGAAACAATATAATTATATTTTCAAAAAAGAAAAACGATAAATTATGTGAAACAGACAAAAAAAAAAAAATGGACATTTTATATGAGACATAAAATATATTGAAACTCGAGATTTCATTCGTTAGAAGCTTTTTACAAGGGAGTTGTAAAATACTCCTTCTGTCCCAAAAGAGTTGTCTTGTTTTTTTCATTTTCGTCTGTCTCAGAACAGTTGTCTTGTTTATTTATTTAGTCGTGGTTCCCACTTTATAGCAAAATTATTCATATTTATTCAAACTATCAATAATTATTACTGTAATCTACTTTTTAAAATCTTTCAAAAAACAAAGACATTTTAATCTTTTATATTATACTGTGTATCATCCCCTTAATTTCCGTGCTAACTCCCAACAATACATCTGTGCTGGGACAAAGGAAATATAAAATTTCTCGTAAATGCCGAAACTCTCAACAAAGCGACTTGTAGTTAGTCCTCGCGAGTCTCTTGCGAAAGCTGTGTTATTGTTATAATACAAATGGAACATATAAATTAACCGTTCATGACATAATTCACCAATATAGATTATTATTAATTTCAATACAAACATAATTCTATACAACAAACATATATGTATAAATTTTATTTAACATGGTTAAATAAAATCAATGCAAAATCATAAGTAAATAAATTCTTGATTCTTCGAATGAAATACTCAATTCGTCGGTCAAATTTATTCATATTTTTTTATTTTCGTTCATCCTTTAAATTTATCACATTACAATATTTGGAAAAGTAAAAAAATTTATATTTAATTATTACACTTCATTCAACACTTCTTTACTACAAATGTTACTTAACACATTAACTCTCTTCATTTTTTTTTAGTTATCAACTAAAATTTCAAAAATATCTTCAACTACCTTTTTATTTTTTCCACCATTTTCAATGATATATATATTTTTTAATTCTCAAGCCGAGTCAAACTGAATAAATATAGCGGACTGAGAGAGTATTTTATTTCGAAAAAAAAATAGTTATTAATACTATTGTAAAAATTACTCATCCATCCCACTTAATTGTCTATTCTTTTTATTTTTATACGTCCTACATAATTTGTTATTTTTTTGAAATATAATTATACATTTTAATCACATTTTAAAATTCATAATTTATATTTTAATTAAAATATTTAGTCATTTTAATCTTAATATTAAATCATAATTATTTTTACTAATATACTTTTTAATTATTTACTAATTATCCGTTATATAAAACTTCATGCCTAAATAAAAATTGACAATTTAAGTGAGACAGAAGAAGTATTTAATTATGGATATAATGTTAACACACAATAACTCTATTGATTCAAATTTAGGTTACATTCCTTATTTATACATATGAAGGCAATTTAGGTTGTATTAAATTTGGTCAAAAAGTTTCCATTAGGGAGACATCATGTGTGTTTGGATGTAGGGTTTAATTAGTTTTGCCATTATCCATAGATCCTTATTTCCCCTTTTTTTTAAAAAAAAAAATGTAAAATTATACTTATTAACTTTTACTTAATAAAATATTATAGGTTAAATTGCAGGTTTCATGAAATTGTACAAAATTTCTATACTTCTAAAACTGCATCAAATTTCTCGTGATTTCATAAACTTTGCGTCTAACCCCCTCAGTGGTTCTTATTTAACGGTATTTGACCTAAATGTGCTCAAACTGCGAATAAATTTTAAAATCTCAATTTATAAACCCTTAAAATTACAAATATATATATTTTTTATATTTACCCTAAAAACATAGTAAATATACTAAAAGATAGTTATTTTTCTCAAGTTTTAAGACTTTATTTTTACTATTTTTTAGGCTAAATATATATAAAAAAATATATTTGTAATTTTAGGGGTTTAGAAATTGAGATTCTAAAATTTATTCGCAGTTTGAGCGTATTTAGGTGAAATACCGTTAAATAAGGACCGCTGAAGGGGTTAGAACCAAAGTTTATGAAACGACGAAGGAGTTTGACGCAGTTTTAGAAGTATAGAAGATTTGGTGCAATTTCATGAAATCACAGATAAATTTTGTGCAATTTAACCAATATTATATTTACACTATAGTATATATCAAAACATGAAACAAAACCCAAATAAACACTCTTTTTTTTATTATTTTTTAATGTTGTTTCAAGAAATATGGTTTTTTTTACAGTTATTTAAATATTTTTTTTTCTCTATAATAACATATTATTATCTAAGTAAGTATGACATTCAAATAATTATTTAAATATAAAATATTCACATATAACACAAATGGAACAAACCTTATTATGACAAAGGAAATGCATTATTTGGGGTGCCAGGATCACCAGCTCCTGATTAATCCTGACCATCATCTATGCAAGACCAACGAGCAAAAGCGTCTCTGGACCCTATGTCCCGGGATTCGCCAAGAACAAAACTGAAAGCTTGAATTATGGGTGCTTTAAACCACGCCTGAGCTAATTACGCAATTAGAGGCCGTAAAGAGAAATGCCGTATGACTGTTATCAAAAGCACAAATAATAATAATAATAATAATAATAATAATATATTTATATCTATATATACATGTATTTTTGTATGTAGTGAAAAAAAAAATACACATGATTCCAGGCGTGCGTCTTTGAGTTCTTTCTATTTATTATGTTTATTGTTTAAAAATATCATACTCCCTCCGTCCCGTTGAAAAGGTAGCGTTTGTTTTTTACACGTAGATTTTTTAATATTAATATTATATTGAATTGTAGTAAAAAAGACAAAAATATTCCTATTAGTGTAGTGTAATATAAAAGTAACGGCATTTGTGTAATAAATTGTAAGTTGAAAGGGTATTTATTATGATAGGTAGGTAGTACAATTACTAAATTAGGAAATGATAACCTTGTTTTGGGACAAACGAAAATAGAAAATGGTAACATTTAGATGGGACGGAGGGAGTATTTTAAATTTGATGTAATATATTGTGTCAATATTTTCTTTTTTCTTTTATCAAATTATTATTGCTAATTACATACTACATAGTATTATATTATTTCCGTCCGTTTCTAAGGGTCACATTTATCTTTTACTGTCATTATACTTAGTATTAAAAATATCTTTATATTTGTATGATTTTTTTTACAAAATTCTTTCTATTAGTATTATAAGACAATAATGCAAATATTTTTACAACTTTTTTTTTTATTTTATTTTGTACTATGTTTGATATAATAATTAATATTCAAATATTAATATTTAAAAAGTAGATGAAACTCTTAAAGCTGGACGAAGAATAGTATTATATAAAAAAATTTATTTAAATTTTGCATTATTCTTGTACAAGTTTACTCTCAAAGTACATCTTTGTTGAAATATTTTAAATATTCGATTTCAAATTTAATAGATTTATATTTAAATTTGGTCTTACCCATATATTAGATTACGTAGATTTGAATCTATCAAATCAAATTTGTATTGCCTATATATAAACCCTTTATTTTGATGATTAACAAGATTTATTTTTGCTCAAAAATTTCTAACACTTTTTTTTAAACCTGAATATAAAGGAAAAGAAAAATTCATAAATATCTTGGCTCCCCATTGTTGACTTAAAATTTTCATTTTAATAATAAAAAATATCAAAAACCCAAAAACATATATTGAAAAAAATTGGTGTGTTATCTTTCAACATATCTTATTCAAATAAAATATAGATTTGGGTGTGCTCATTTCGTGTTTTTTTTTTTTTTGGATGGATGTATTTATATAAATAAATATAAATATATTATTTTTAAAATCTTTTTCATAAAATACATATTTCTAAAATAAATAGCAAGGCATAAGTATCTTCACAAAAAAATTAACCATTAGATTTGTTTGATCTATATTTCAAGTTATTGTTGCAATGTTGACTATAATTAGTTCCCCCATATAATGTATACTAAAAACACATAAAATACGAACAACACTGCAATATATATGAGTCCCGTCAGGAATGCTCGGTGGTGTGAAGTTCGAATCCCCGTGTCTTTTTAAGTTTTACTTGCCATATATGATTATCTAATGTGATTTGCTTTATCCAGTCTAATTTGTAAAGTATTGTTTTCTCAAAGTGCATTAAAAAAAGTAACGATTGCAAGTTTTTACATCATTAAAAAAAATACAATGTAAAATATTTATATAATACTACAATATTTCAAGCAACATATACATATACACTAGAACAATACATCACATAACAATCTATACAATAGATAATGTTTGTTTCATTTTTATGTAAGGGTGGGCAAAAAAATCGAACCGAATCGTCGAACCGTTGAACCAAACTGAATCGAACCGAATTTTCGGTTAACCGAGCAAATTCGATTCGAATACAAATACTGCATATTTGATATTTGTTTGGTTCGATTTGGTTTCGGTTTTTCATATTTTTTTTTGGTTCGGTTAACCGAACCGAATATAATTATGTTTATAATATTATATTTTAAATTTTATATTAATAATTATATACGGTTCGGTTTCGATTCGGATATTTGAAATATTTTTTATTTAATTAGAATTTTAATTTATTTTATATATATTTTTTTAATTTCGGTTCGGTTCGAGTTATTTGCAAATACTACAAATATTTTCGGTTAACCGAAAATTTCAGTTATTTTCGATTCGAATACGGTTCGCAATTTCGAGTATTTGTTCGGTTCGATTCGGTTATTAAATACCTGCATATTTACAAATAACCGAACCGTGTCCACCCCTATTTTTTATGTATTGTATAGTTGATTAGGATTTAATCAATATGATAGTGATTAACCTCAATAAGCACCCTAACCATTCATGTGTTTCAAACCAAATTTCTTATCATTTACCCATATTCGTGCTATAAATAAATTTTTTTCGTCTCAATTCAAGGTACCTATTTTATCATTTTCATCTAGGTACTTGAAAATATTTATTTATTTTATTTATAATAGTAAAAATAATCCATATATAAATATCAAAATACTCTAACTTTTACAAAAATATTCATTGCAAGGATAAAACGTCAAACTCATTTTTACATACTTCTACCACTAATAAAATATTACTCCCACCGTCAGTTGCCATTTTTCATTTTCATTCGTCCCAAAACAAGGTTATCATTTCCTAATTTAGTAATTTTACTACCTACCTAACATAATAAATACCCTTCTAACTTACACTATGTTACACAAATGCCATTACTTTAATATTACACAATACTAGAGACATTTTCGTATTTTTCACTGCAACTCATTATAATACTAATATTCAAAAATTTACGTGTAAAAAGTAAACGACAACCTTATAACAAAATGAACGGAGTATTATTTTTTAATGTACTGTTAAAAAAAAAAAAAGGGTATATTTTGAGTGTGTGGGAACCAAGGGAGTATTTTTCGTTTTCCCACAAAATACCATATTCAAATATATATTTAAATATAATTTCAAATATAAAACCTCAAATTTAAATACAAACCAAACAAATTCAAAAAGTAAAAGTAAAAAACTCAATTAACTGAAATATTGAGAGGAGAACCTGGAGTCGAAGTCCAGGGAAAGCGACAGAGGTGATGTAAATTGCTGGGGACGCCGTAGTCCTGGGAGCCGTCAAGAAAATAAGGCCGGGCTTGGCGCTCTCCCATTACCTACACAATTATGCAAAAGATCAAGATGGATCCCTTTCCTTGTGCTTTACTTGCTATTTTCCTAATCCCATTCCCCACCCCCCACCCCACCCCACCCCACACCTTTGAACCCTAATAAAAGATTCTACCACAATATGACTGACTATATATTGCTACCACCCCACCCAACATCATGCACCGGAGAAGAATTACATACTGTTCCAATTTCTTGTGTGTGTGTGTGTAAGAAACAGAGTTAGAGAGAGAAAGCTTTAACTTACACACTCCCATTCTTCTTCTATTTCTACTTCCCCATTGAGCCCTTCAAAACCTCTCTCGGTACTCTAACCACATTGTCTGTCTTCCTAGAAAGATGCACACTACAACAGATCTGTTATAATATCCCACTCCACAATACAACAGAATCATGGTCTGAGAGTTTCTTACTCAATATCAGCAGCAGCAGCAGCAATGGCGACCAAATTTCAGACCTCCTGCGGCTGCATTGTGCTGCTGGTGCTTGTGGTTGCTTCATTTCCTCACATGGGATCTACAACCGATCTTAACTCCACCATCGTCCTCCCTGGACAGCACCCAAGCCCTGATTTAGTCGCCCATGAGCTTCACAGGTCTCTTTTCTCATCTCCTGTTGAAAAATTCTTCCTTCACAAACGATTATTGCATTTTCAGTTTAGGGTTTTACTGCAAGAAATGTGCTGTTCTTACCCATATTACCGCAAATTTGCAATGCACAGCACTGTCTCTTCCAAATTTCTTTAAACAAAGAAAGAAAGAGCCATGGAGTGCAGCAGCAGCAGCAGGAACCAGCAGCAAAAGCAACTCCCAATATTGTTGCCTGTTGGGCCCACACGCAATTAAGTTGCTGTCTGGATCTGCACTCCATGGACCTTCACCACATTTTCCTGCTCTTCTTGGCAATGGCATCCTATGAATGAATTTTGTAAATTATCTTTCTTGCTTCTTCTTACTTACAGAAAAGTACATGCCTCCATTTCTCGACGTAACATGTTGTCCTACACCACCAACACCGCCGACTGCCTCACCGGCAACCCCATCGACGACTGCTGGCGGTGCGACCCCAACTGGCACCTCAACCGCCAGCGCCTCGCCGACTGCGCCATCGGGTTCGGCCAATACGCCCTCGGCGGAAAGGGCGGCCGCTACTACGTCGTCACCGATTCCTCCGACCACGACCCTGTCAATCCCCGGCCGGGGACCCTCCGGTACGCCGTCATCCAAACAGAGCCTCTCTGGATTGTCTTCGCTGCCAACATGCTCATCCAGCTCTCCCAGGAGCTCATCTTCAACTCCTACAAGACCCTCGATGGCCGCGGCGCCAATGTCCATATCATTGGCGGCGGCTGCATAACCCTGCAGTACATCAACAATGTCATCATCCATAATGTACATATCCACCATTGTTACCAGTCCGGCGAGACCAACATCCGGTCGAGCCCCACGCATTTCGGGTGGAGGACAAAGTCTGACGGTGACGGCATTTCCATTTTCGGCTCCCGGGACATTTGGATCGATCACTGCTCCCTTTCGCATTGCAAGGACGGCTTGATCGATGCCGTGATGGGATCGACAGGGATCACCATATCCAACAACCATTTCTCCCATCACAATGAGGTGATGCTGTTGGGCCACAGCGACGACTTCTTGCCGGACTCCGGGATGCAGGTCACCATATCCTTCAACCATTTCGGGCAGAAGCTGATCCAGAGGATGCCCCGGTGCCGCCGGGGGTATATCCATGTTGTGAACAATGATTTCACCAGGTGGGAGATGTATGCCATTGGAGGGAGTGGGAATCCCACCATTAATAGCCAGGGGAATCGGTACATTGCGCCGTATGACCGCAATGCAAAGGAAGTGACGAAGAGGGTCGACACTGCTGAGGAGAAGTGGCGGGGATGGAACTGGAGGAGCGATGGCGACGTACTGGTGAACGGAGCGTTCTTTGTGGCGTCAGGTCAGGGTGTGGAAGTGAAGTATGAGAAGGCCTACAGCGTCGAGCCTAAGTCTGCCGAGTATATCGATCAATTGACTCTCAATGCCGGCGTTCTAGGCAACAGGTTTGCTTCATTCCCATCCCTTTCTGCTTCAATCTTCATATCTGTTCTTCAAGAAACTGAAAAAAATGTTACATGACTGAAACCAGGAGGAATAATTTGGGGAAATGGACATCTGGGAGCAATGAGTCTGGTGGATATATGGATGCAAATTCGGGGATATTCGAGGACTACGACGATGAGTATGGAGGGAGTGAGATGTCTTACTCTGTTAATTGTGTTCTTGTGGTCTGTTTGATGGCCCTTTTAGTTCTTTAGCTTCCTAAGCATGGAGATCAGCAAAATGTGGTTTCCTTTCTTCAATTGGACATATCTCACTTTACATCAGTAATGTTGGTGCATTTGGATTTCATTAATCTCAGAAAAGCTTCTGTCAAAATGCCTGAAATTTGAAGTTTGATGAAAGGGTGTTAATGGAGGCTTAATTGAATGAAAAAAGTTGATTTATTTTGGAGCATAGTTAGAGACCATACCTTTTAAGAATCATACACACTTTCCATCGGTGTTTTTATAACATTTCTGTTGATTTCTAACAAGATGTTGAAAGATGATCTCATCCCATAAAGAGAAATCTCTGGCTAGACAGTCTTGAGGATCTATTCTTCAGGGCGAAGGCCATTGTTTGACATCCATTCTGTCATCTAGTTTTGTATGGTGAATCTGTCAAAAACAGCTCAAATGCATCATAAGAATACAATGCGGCTCATAAAATAGATTGAATGAGAACATTGAGTTGATACCAGAGTATTTCTTGTTTTTTTGAAAGGCATAAAGCAGTGTGATTTCTATTTCTTGGATACCTTCTCCAGTAAATCTTGTTTTCTTCCGGGCAATCTTTGTGCAAACCTTCAAGGTAAACCGAATATTATGTGCTACCCCATTTCTTGTGCATTCTTCAGCAGAAAATGTTTCGATGCTTCGGATTGGAGCAGGGGTAGTTCATCCACCACAACCTGCAGCTCTCGTCTGCACGGTGAAAAAAAATAAAATGATGATCTCCCTAGTAGCTGTTTGTGATCAACTTTGTGTATACCTGATGCTTTGGCTAATGCATCTCATCTTCTCTAACCAAGAAGATACACAGCAACAGCTAGCGGTTGGTCTTCTCCCGGCCACGGCCCTTTTCAGAGTTCGAGTTCCTGCATTAATTTCAGAAAACTGTATATTGCAGTATTCCATCAAGAGTGCAGTTAGTCCAGCTGCATATACTATAAAGATTTGCCAAACAGGGATAGTAAATGAAAAAGGAGACTCACCAGAACATCTTAGATTACCATAGTTGTGGGATCTCCACATCGACATTGGCTCGTGTGATTGATCTTAGGCCTTACGTTATGTCATCCGCTGAGTTGAAATCACATATGCTATGGATGATTCTCCAATAAAAGTGCTAATCCATAAATGAAAAGAAAGAAAAAAAGATGAAAGAGGGAATAGGCTTCTCATTGAATTGTAACTGCCATTTGATTCAGCTCTTCAATTTACATAGTTCCAAATTGCTAACAGAACAACCTTGAAAAGAAAAATCAAAATGCTGTCCGAAGATACTCCAGAATGTCTTCTCAGTCTACTTCCTATGAGTCCCACATGTCTGAGAGTATGAAGAACGACAGGCAACTCTAGCAGCAGACAACAGGCATTGGGTCTCAAGACACTATCTCTAGCGATCGATGAATGATTTATTCATAAGATCTACAGCTGAATCCATGAACTGCCATCGCAAGAACAAAGACACAGTCAAGTTAATTTGGGGGACATTACAATTAATTTTCATTAGCATTCTTAGTGAAGAATGAGTCATTGGCATGAAATCCATCCATTAATTTACAACCAGAGTTCGAAGAGAGGAATGAATACACAGAACTTACCTTTCCAATTGACTTGAGTTCCCGTCCAACTGGTTCTAAAAACTTCAAGTCCACTTCAATGGGCCATACCTGTATAAGTGATAGAAGGAAGCTATTTTATAATCTTGCCATTCGTGTCAAAATGATGTAAACTTCTTTGTAAGTTTAGCAGCTTATGACTTATATGGAGTAAAGCAAAACCACAAAGGACCTAAGAACTTCACAAGAAGGATAGAATATTGAAATCTAAGATAAGAAGTACAATCTCGGCAAGAAGAAAATAAGTTATATAAGACACTAATAAACGTTAATTGATTAAGAAAATGCAAATGATCAAGTGGATTAAAGCAAATGAAAATGCCTAGCACAAAAAGCAGTAGCCATTCAATTAAAAGAAACTCTACACTACAAATGATAAACGTATCAACTACAAGAATAGCTTAATCTTCCCATCTTCTATGTGGATATTCTTCTAACTATCACTTGCTGTTAGGTTCATGTTCAAGTTCAGAGAGCAACTAAAAATCAGGATTGAGGTACAACCAACCATTCCAGAGCATTTTCTTTTAAATTATAACCACAATCTAACTTTCTAGAACATAAGCATATAAATATCACAAACATACCCATCTACACATACAGTACACTTACGCTCCAAATAGATTCATATTTAATTAAGCTCCAAATGGATTTATTTTCACTAATTAAATAGCATTCCACAATGAATGTATATCTATTACAGGATGAATGTGTTTCCCATCATTGCATACTTGATAACACTAAAGAGAGCAGCCAAACTTCTAAATCTTGTGATTAGTTAAGAGAGGCAACTGGCGAATTATCGACTATATGAATGAACAACTTAGTTTGTTCTCCCAGAAGGTTTAACAAAACAAACAGATATCATTAAACTGATCCACAAAATAACCAAGGGGTCACAAGGCACCTTAAGACCAAGTAATTTGATAGGTGTAACTTGTCCTGGAACAATGCATTCAGGCCCAGCAGCTTCGACCACAGCCTCCTTACCCAGTCCATTCCCAATTGGATCATCCCGCTGAAAGGAATAGAAATTCAAAAACAAAATTCAAACTGCTGCAATTTGAAAATTATAAAGGAGACAAAAGATGAACAAAAACGATATCAATTGAACAATCAGTAATCAGCAATAATACGACTTTCAGTAGTACAAGTCTACAGCAATACTCTAACGCCTAGGTTTTAACTACATACGACAACATCATACTTCAAAATTAATCCGCCAGTAAGCAAGAAAAATTGGGGTAATGTAGAAAAAAACAGCACGCGTAAACAGAGACCCGATATTAGGCATCACTAGAACCTTAGTTCTAACCTTCTGAGAAAAATGCAACGATGAAACACCACGAACCAAAATAATCGAGAAAACAGAAATCCATAAAAACATGATACATATTCGTACAATCAAAATCTGCCAAGTTACACGGCTACCCAACCTTCATAACAGAAAGGGCGTAATTGGAGTACGGATTCTGCGGGAGGCGAAGAACTGGCGAGTGGTGAATCTTGGGAATTGGCTTTGCAGCAGAGGATGCTCTCCACGGAACATCTTGTTGCAGGGCAGCTCCTTTCTTCGTCGACATTGTTGCAGTGGTGCAATACTTCTCGAGGTCGTGTAGATAAGAGTGTTGATTCTACAAATGGAGGAGACGACCGCAAGCCCGTAACCCGAAAATGGGAGCCGATACCACAACTATATATACTCTTTCAAAAATCGCTACACGCAGACTAACGACTTTATCCAATTCTACGATTTTAGAATGGACCGGTTAAGTAGTTTTGGGCCTTCCCACATAGGATGAGATGAAATAATGTATACGTCTTATATCTGTATATCTATTTAGTTTATGCATAAACTTTTAGAAATATTAATACGATATTAGAATATTTTAGAAATAAAAATAAAAAGATTAAATTAATCCTTTAATATTTAATTGAAAGAAATTAATTAATTTTTAATGAAATTTTAGTATTCCTTCTGTTCTATTGAAATGTTGCCATTTTTTATTTTCGTCAGTTCCAAAAATAAGGTTACAATTTTCTAATTTAGTAATTGTATTACATACCTAACATAACAAATATCCTTCCAACTTACACTATATTACACAAATATCATTGCTTTTATATTACACAATACTAATAGGACATTTTTATTTTTTTTTCAGTACGACTCATTATAATACTAATATTAAAAAATCTACATCCAAAAAGTAAACGATAACCTTGCACTAGGACGAGGGAGTATTTTGATTTAAATCAACTATCTATCGTATTATATTATGTTATTCTTATTGTTATATATCATTTTTAGGTTCTACTAATCTATTATAATATTGATACCGTGATGCAATAAATAAATAAAAAAATAAGAAAAGAAAGAATTCAAGAAGAAAAAGAAAGAACCAATGAAAGAATGTATGTATGTTTTTAATTATTTATTGCATTTTTTTTATTAATAATTTTTTTTTTACTAATAGATTTTTTAATTTTGTAGACCGTGTTAAAATTTTTAAGTTATTTTATTTGAAATAATATTTGAAAAATTTTCCTATGAAAAATTACAATAATTTTTAATAACATAAAAAAATTTCTTTTTATTGTATTCTTATTGTGTAAGTATTTTTTAAAAAATATTTATTTTGTAATTTTTATTTTCTATAAATTATATATTTTATAATTTTTATTGTATATATTATTTTTTAAATTGATTTGATTCGAATATTATATTATATATATATAAAATTATAAATATTATTTATAAAAAATATTAAATTACTATATAATTTAATATAAAAATAGCATGGATTGCACGTTAGTTTTTTATATTTAAAATATCAAATTCATACGTATTTATATTATATCAAAAATTATTTTAATTTAAAAATTTTATTATTTAAAAATTAAGATATCATTATCTATTTTTACTTTCGAGTGTGCATTAAATAAAATTTTCAATCGAATTTAATATTCATGATCTTACAATTATAAATTCTATCCCGGGGACATAACTTTGATTTTAATACTCCATTTATTAAAATAGATTTTTTTTTTTGAAAATCATCTCATATTTTTATTTTTATTAGAGCATTTATAATGCAACCATTTTAGAAGTCCTTTCACCTACTCTAAATTTCTTTTTGTACACAATTTCAATCCTCCCTCCCCTAAAAAATTATTCTTTTCCTTTTTGCTCTTTTTATTTACAACGATATTTACTGTGTTTTACAGTCATTTTCACTATCAATCGACACTGATGAGAGAAATTTTACTTTGGGGGAGATTCAACTCGGTCTCTTAACTCGCAATTTTGTTTCGAGCATAATCGCTGTACTTGGTGAAGAAATGAAGAAGAAATCAAGCGGAAGAACCAAATAAGAATATGGTAAAAAAATCATCGGAAAATTTTGCTTGAAGGGAACTCTTCTTCGCGATTCAAGAGTAAAGAAGAAGGCGGGGGGAAATTAATTTGACCATTGTGCAATTAAAGAAGATGTCCGGTAAGGAATGACTTAGTGGTGTGGGATGGACTCGTAACTGTTAGGTCATGGGTTTAAACTCTCAACGCCTTCGGGTCATCTGCTACACATGGTTCGCTTAGTATGACTTGCCTTGTCGAACCTATTTTGCAGGGTATAGATTCAGCTGGAGGTTTATCTAATGTGCACTCGAGAAGTAACAACGGTAAATTTTCACGTCATTAAAAAAAAAATAAAAGAAAAAAATACGGTTAGTTAAACTCAGAATCATTCTTTGAACACCTGAAAGGCTTCACATTTGTAGAGGCTTTTTTTTTTTCAAAAAAAAAATTATTCCCATTGTATGTACTTTTGATTAGATTACTTATACTTTTATCTTTTCAAAATAAAAATTATATAAATATTTTATATATTCAAAGTCTAAAATTTTATAAAATTAATTTATATTAATATATGTAGTTATATATTATTTACGCAAAACATATACTCCCTCCGTCCCAAAACTATAGTCTCGGTTGTGTTTGGCACGGTGGGTAAAAAGTACCGATAAAATACTTTTTTGCCATTGTGAGTGTATTAGTGTAAAAAATAGTGATAATTGTGTAATAATAATGAAATAGTAAGGGTAGTTTTATAGTGATATAATTATTTATTGGAATGAGCTATTATTTTGGAACAGACAAAAATTGTAAACAGGACTATTGTATTGGGACGGAGGGAATAAAATTTATGTTGTACTCTCTTCTGTAGATGATCTGTTTATACTTTTAGTGATTCTTTCAATTTTTTTTATTTTTTTATCTAATCTTAATAAATAAATATTTTTATGTACATTCAAAATGTTTTAATTTTTTATAAAACTATTGTTGGATTTTTTTATTTCAATATAAGTCTACCCCTATTAAACACATACACACCTAATTTGCAGTCCAACTTTAATCATGGCTCTGGCCCATGATCCATGGCCCTCTCGCTCGACCTGATCCATGAAACGCCTGGTGCTCGACCCGCAATCCATCTAAAATTGTTGGCAATTTATATTAATGTTTGTATGAGTAGAAATGTCTAGACAAGTTTTAATTTAAAATACTTTGGATATATTTGTAATATTTTTAATTTGACTTATTTGTATAATTTACATTTTAGAATTCAATGTAGTTAGTATAGCATTTGAGGTATTGATACGTGAAATTTGTGTTGTATAATTTTTCATGTCCTATATAGAAAGTGTGATAAAAAGGTGGAGGCACTGGCTCCTATAAATTGACCCCCTTGGATTAAAACGAGAACAAACTTTTCTTCTTTAGTAACTAGAGAGAGTGAAATTGAGATTTGAGGAGTTGTTGTGATGAGGGTTTTACAATTTTGTCCGTGCAAAATTTGTAATAAATATTTTAGTAGATTATCCCATTTTGGGATTGTGGATGTAGGTCTTTTGTGAGACCGAACCACGTTAAATTATTGTGTCTTGCTATTTGTTTTTCTCTATCTTCCCTTGTGTGTGTTCCCAACAAGTGGTATCAGAGCAATGTTATTTTTGAGCGAGGTCTTGGTGACGGAATGAGAGAAGGAGCAAGAACGCTAGCAGTTCGGGTTGCAGTTCCACAGCAGGTTCCGGAAATAGACCAGATTTCTGCCAGAAATGTCGGTTCTGTCTGATTTGAGTTCCTGGTTTTATTTTTGAGCCTTAGTTTATTTGTTTGTTGAAAGTGCTTGTTTATTCGAGAGTTATTAATCACTATGTCTACTACTTTGAAATATGAGGTTCCGCTATTTGATGGAAAGAGTGATTTTACCATGTGACAAAGCACAATTCAAGACTATTTGGTGCAACAAGGTCTTGATGTTGCCTTGGAAGATGTAAAGCCAACAGGTATGAAAGAAGGTGATTAGAGTTTGATCTGGAAAAATGCTGTTAGCACGATTCGATTGGTACTCACCCCACAGATAAAGGTTACTGTGTTGACGGAAATATTGCCGAAGAGGTTGTGGGATATTTTGGAGAGTAAATATGCCACGAAGACGTTGACTAACTGTCTGATTATGAAAATGGATCTATACTATTTGAAGATGGAGGAATGAGGTAATATAATTGACCATACTAACAAGTTTAATGAGCTAGTATGTCGACTGTTGAATGCATGAGAGGAAATTAAAAAGGAAGAGCATATGTTGCTCTTGTTAACTTCATTGTCCAAATCCTACAAGCAGTGGGTGCAGTCAATGTTGGTTGGGAAAACTACATTGAAATTGAATGAGACGATAACGGTTTTGAAGAAGAATGACAAGATAATGGGAAATGGAGACAATTTAAAGGAGAGTCAAATACTACATGTGGAGGGTTCTGAAAGAGGGAGGAAAATAAAGAGTGAACGTGGTGGAAGATCAAAATCTCGGCCGAGAGATTACAACTCTATTGAGTATCATTATTCTGGAGAGCTTGGTCACATTCAAAATCACTGTTGGCTTTTTAAAAAAGAATTGAGAAGTCTGAAAAATTTGAAGGTAAGTTGAGAATTCCGTGAACGTGGTCAGTTATGAATGTGATTTACTTCTTCTAAATACAAATCCTGTTGAGAATTCTAATTGGGTGATGGATTTTGCTTCCGATGTCCATATAAAGATTAAACTTTATTTGATACTTTTCATACAAAGAGAGATTTTGACTATATCAATATGGGGAATAAGATGAGACAACGAATTGAAGGCATTGGAAGAGTTTGCTTGAAGCTCCACAATGGTAATGTCAAAACAATTTTTAATGTGAGGTATGTGCCTACTGTTGGAGCTAATGCTATTTCATTGGGCGAGTTAGCTTTACATGGACATAGATATGTTGGCACTAAAACTCTATGCAAAGTGTACAAGGGTGACAACTTGATTATGCAAGGGAGGAAAAAACAAAACAGAATGCACTTTGCGAGCAAATGCAGAGACCAACAATAATATGAATAATCAAAAAATCGAGAAGAGAGTTTGTTTTTCTAACATGGTTGAAATATGTGAGACTATGGGAAGAGGGAGGATTTGTTGTGTAACTTCTCATGTCCCACATAGGAAGTATGATAAAAATGTGGGGACATTTGCTCCTATAAATTGACCCAATTAGGTCATATTTTAAGACAACAACAAACTTTTTTTCTTTAGTAACTAGAGAGAGTGAAATTGAGATTTGGTGAGTTGTTGTGATGATGGTTTTACAATTTTGT